TGGGAAAGTAGACAGTTCTTTCTGACATTAGGGTTAGGGTAGTTGTGTCTCTTCTGGGTCTCCAGTTTGGGAGATACTATCCTGTGGTGTTAGGAATATGAGCCCCTTAAGACTGGATGCCTGGCTTCGAATATCTGCTTCACGACTCTCCAGCGTTGAGACCTTGGGCACACTGTGTAACCTTCTATGCCTTAGTTTCCATATCTGTAAAATGAGAATCATAGCATCTGCCTCATAGAGTTGGTGTGAGGAAAAACAAGTCCTGGGTAAATTTTAGTCCCTTTTATCAGTTTTAGTATTAATATATTATTTTACAGATACTGTAAATTGTGTAATCAGTCATAATTTCTTCTTTGCACTGGTGACTCCAAAACTCAAAGTGAAATCTGTGGATAACATCCGGTACATGAACTTAATGACTTTTTTCTTTTTTGTGGATGGTGGGTGGAGGCCTCGCCGTATTTCTAGTGCCCTTGTTTTTTTGGTGGAGGGTGGGTGGAGTTCTAGTAATATTTGTAGTGCCCTTTTCTTTGCTCTACTTGCCTTGCCTCTTATAATTTTAACAGTTTCATCAATTTCATTTTTATGTTATTGTGTTGAATTGCATGTCTTGGAACAGGCCCTATAGTATAGGAATCATCATTGTCATCAGTTACCTGAGTATTTGCCATTCATTGACACTTCATTTTGTGTAGTAACTTGTTCTTCATCCAGAATATGTGTGTTGTATTCAAAGTTGCTAAGGAAAGGCCTTTCCCAAGGTATGATGGAGACATGCATGTACACACACGTGTGTGTGTGTGTGTGTGTGTGTGTGAGAGAGAGAGAGAGAGAGAGAGAGAGAATGAGAGAGAATGAGTGATGCAGACCACCACCCCACCCAGCTTGTATCGACTTTCCTCCATCTTGTGTATGACTTTGGTTTAGTCCTGATTCCCCGCTATGAAGCAGAAATAATTTACTTTGATTTGACGGAGGAATATAGTACAGCCATGAGCTGCTGGGAGCCAGTCGAGGTGTGACATTTCTGGAGAAAACTTGGGGGAGTCTGTGGCTGACATTACTCCTGTAGATGATGGCAAAATATGTCTTTGTTATTCAGAAAATCAAGAAGACTGTATTTTTAGAAATGCTTCTTTTTACTGTGTTTCAGGGGACTTTGCTTCCTTATATTTTTTCCATTGTCACCCAGAGTATTTACTTGAAGAACCTCACTAACTGCCTGTTCTTGGCACTTCCATGTTTAATAGAGGCACCCACAGGGTATTACCTATATGAATGCTCACAACTCTTCATCTTCTCATGAAGTGTACTTTAAAGTTTTCAATTATGTATCCCAACTAGCTGCAATGAAATGAACTCCTGAGAGCGCTTGTTGTAAGGATTTAAGAACTGATTATAACTGGTGCTGGTTGAGCATACCTGACTTTCTTACACTGACTTTACATTTGCTGTCTAATTTAACCATCAAAAATACCACATGAGGCACATGTTATCTCTATTTTATAGATAAAGAAACTAGACTTGGGAGACTAAGTGATTTCCCTAAAATCACCAAGCTAACCGTGGAAGAATTGGGATATGCTGGTGTTTGACTCAGAACCTGTACACTTTGTTACTATACAAAACTGCCCTGAAAACTGAAAACTTACTTGTTCTTTCTTTACTTGGTTATTTTAATTCTGATATCATTTACTTTAATCTCATCTTATTTTAGCTCAATAAACCACCTTTGCTATTTTGAGGGGTCCCATATCTATTGAACGAAGGCTAGGGGTGGATCTGAAAATTGGTGTGCAGGGAAATGTATCCTCATTGGGCAATATGAAATTCATAGTTGATCCCATTTTCCAGTAGCTCAATAATCCTTCATGAGTCCAGAAAGAACCATATCATACATTATTTGTTCCATTTCAAGTGATAAGAACAGCTTTGTGTAATGGGAAAATTATAACCTTTCACCAGTGTTGTATTAGTCTTCTGGGTTTGCTCTCAGCCACATGTGCATGCTTTTGCTTTATATGTGGTTCTATTTTAGTGCAACAGTGGTTTTGCAAACCAGGTCTGTAGCCAGCCTTAAGTTGTTCTGTGGATGCTTATCACTGTTTCTCACTGTTTAGGATCACACTGTAGGACTTTCGTCTGAGAGCTATCTGTTTCCACTCGGGGATCTTCTCTGACAAAATTGAGAATTTCATTCTTTTTGAATATTATTAGTGCTGTTGCTATTTGGGCTTATTGCTACAATACTGAAGCTGTTTTCTACATCAAAATTAGGGTTTGCAACCAAGGGAAAATATTTCTCATAAATGTTTGCAGTCTTCTAACATTTCATACCCCATATTAGGAAGTAGTATGCATTTTAAACAAATCCATTTTGTTTCTGGACTTGTTAAAACTCAGTAAGAGGGCAGTATAAATGACCAGTTGTCAAGTGAAACATTGAATTAATGCTGTATCTTTGGTTGGAACAAGTCACTATTAAAAGCGTTAGAGAAGACAGTGTCTAGGACCACTAATTTCACCATCAGGTCTGGAGCTAACAACTAAGACAAAGGTAGAAAGCTGGGACAGACAGTCTGAGGTTCCTTGATGCTATCCTGTTTAACATTATTTATCAGAGATTCGGAGGCAGAAGTAGAAAGCATGCTCATCAGATTTGCAGACAACACAAAACTAGGTAAGATGGCTATTACCAAAATTGAATGTCAGTGTCAGAGTTGTAGGCTGGAGTGATGCACTAAAAGCACAAGATGGAATTAAGTATAAATGGAAAGTCCTAGTTTGAATGCAGAAAACCATTTACCTTGTTACAAAAGTAGAAAGATGACTCGATGGCAGTGTTGTGAAAAAGCCGTATGGGATTTCAGGCTCACAGAGGCTGAGAATGGACCAGCGCTCTGTCTGTACTGGTGAGAACAGAATGGGGTCAAGGGCAGTAGACCGTTGAATTCTGAATAGCTGCCAGGATGGTTGAAGGGTCTGTAAACCTTCTAGTAGCAGGAATTACGGAGAGCAAAGCATACTTTGCCTGTTGCATGGAGTAGTGAAGACTTAGAACATGACAGCTCTTTTCAAATAATGGGCTTTCCTGAGCAAAAGCTAAGTTTTTTTTTTTTTTTTTTTTTTTAACTATTTCTTCACCAGATAGAGCAAAGATAAATGGGTATACATTTTCAAGAAGCAGAGTTTGGGCCTTTTTAAGAGGGAATGTTCTACATAGTCGGGATGCTTTACAAAATTTTGAGTGCTTCATCTGTTCAGAGGCTGGTTGGCTGGTGGGCTGGGAAGTTGTACAATTGACCTAAGCATTTGGATATAAGTTGGACAAGATGACCTGTAACATCTGTTTTCACTCTGAGGTTGTACAATGGGGCTGTTTTACTTATCTTCTTGCCAACAGGACACAGATTATGGACATAATGTAAAAATATTCTTGAATTCGTGTTTTCTTGACCAGAACACTTAATTGTTATCATTGGCAAACAGTTATAATTTTTTGAATTAATATGATTAATAGCATTATATGATGGATATTAGAATTTTTATAATTAAGATTAATTAATCACTTTCCCTATGTGAAACATGGAGGAAAGATCTGATACTATAAAAAGTAACAGGAGGCATTTAAGAGGATATGTGATGGGACAAAATCATCAACATACTGAATGTTATTGATGCCGAAACAACTGAATTGTTATGTATATGCTGCATTGTCTATTAATCTTTGCTCCTTTATTTAAGTAGTTTCATTTCTAGTACCAGAATTCAGCAGATGTTTACCACATGCCTAGTTTTGAGTTTATTTTTGCCTTTAAAACTTGTGTGCTGTAATCCCAGCACTTTGGGAGGCCGAGGCGGGTGGATCAGGAGGTCAAGAGATCGAGACCATCCTGGTCAACATGGTGAAACCCCATCTCTACTAAAACTACAAAAAATTAGCTGGGCATGGTGGTGCGTGCCTGTAATCCCAGCTACTCAGGAGGCTGAGGCAGGAGAATTGCCTGAACCCAGGAGGCGGAGGTTGCGGTGAGCCGAGATCGCGCCATTGCACTCCAGCCTGGGTAACATGAGTGAAACTCCGTCTCAAAAAAAAAAAAAAAAACTTGTGTGGACTATAAGTAAATTTATCATCTCTTTTAATTTTGAGACCTCAAATTTCCAAAGTATTAAATGAAACCTATTTCTTTGTTAGATTTAGAATAATTCTTTGGATAACATTTTGCAAGCTGTGTCCATGGCTTATACTGCCTATTGTACTCCACTTTTATGCCAGGATTGTGGTGAAAGCATTTCTTTTTTCATTTTTTTGGACAAATTATAAATATTTTTCCTTCATTGGAAACAGGTTGAACATTTAGTTAGTTACCTTAACATTTTGAATGCAAGAGCAGTTTTTCAAATTCCTATATATCTGGAAAATACAAATTTTAAATTTGCTTATGTCTTTCTTTTTTTTTGTGAGACAAAGTCTCACTCTGTCGTCTAGGCTGGAGTGCAATGGAATGATCTCAGCTCATTGCAACCTTCGCCTCCCAGGTTCAAGCGATTCTTCCACCTCAGCCTCCTGAGAAGCTGGGTTTACAGGCACCTGCCATCATGCCCGGCTAATTTTTGTATTTTTGTAGAGATGGGGTTTCACCATGTTGGCCAGACTGGTCTGGAACTCCTGACCTCAGGTGACCCACCCACCTTGGCCTCCCAAAGTGTTGGGATTACTGGCGTGAGCCACCACACCAGGCCAGGTCTTGCCTTCAGTTGGCTTCTACCAACATTAGATTGCTTTTGAAGAGCTGCGTAATACAGTGGTGTGGGTGAGGCATGGTTAATGCACACCAGCACTTGGCAAGGATTCAGTAAGTGTTGGATGCACAGCTCCTGAGAGGAAAGACCTAATCAGATTTAGTTTGGCATCAATTCTAACGCTTCCTGCAATCATCATAGCTTATTCCAGAGGTCTGGTTGGTATTTACATTACTTTCTATTCTTTTACATTTTAGGTGGCTGCCTCTTTGATGAGCCATATAACACATGTGGATATAGTCAAGCCGAAGATGATGACTTCAACTGGGAGCAAGTGAACACTTTGATCAAACCAACTTCTGATCCATGGATGCCATCAGGTTTGCTTTTAGTTTTAAGTTTTGTTTTAAAATAAAGAGGAACACAAGAGTCTTAATCATAGTATGTGTTCATGGTATATTGGTTAAATGAATGAAGGTGTTGGTCTTTGGATGTGGCAGTCAAAGTAGGATTAGTTAGTGAGAGTGGCACAATTAAGAGGACAAGTTATAGGAGTTTTATCTCTCTCTCCCCTTAAAGTTTAAATTATACTTCTTTTATTTGCAAGTACACCTTAGCTAGATTAGTGGGAATTACCCAGTTGATCTTTTCCCAAGCAGCAGATATGAGAAAAAGATTGTGATCTCTTCTGGTAAATGTGTCTAAGGGGTAGAACTCTAGTTGGGGAATCCAGATAACAGTCTCCATCCATCAGAGATAGGAGACCTTGGTGGCAACTTTTCTCAGCCTTAGGGGCTCACTTGGCACCTGGGAGATCTAGGGGGACTCCCCAGTGATCTTGAAAGTGTTCTGAAGATAAAATGGCAATATATAAATATGGGTATTCTTTGCACTGAAGAAATGCTTAGTGATTTTCTGGTGAGTGTAAGATGTGTTCCACTGAACATCAAAAAGAATTCTACTTCTTACTGGGAGCAAAAAGTAGGAAGATGGTGACTGGTGAATGCTAATCAGCTTAGAGCTTGATTATTGCAGTGGACCCCTTTTCAGGCTATGACATTGGACACCCCTTTAAGGACTTTAGATGTGCAGATTCGGTGATAAGTTTACTCTATTCAGGATTCAAACTGTGAAATGTGTTGTTCTGATTTAAATTTCAGATACAACACAATTTTTATACTTTTTAATAAATACCAAGTTTTTCATTAATGTTCCTAAGTGTAGGAATAACTACATTAGTAAGTAATCTTAGAAAGGCAGTTTTTAAATGTGAAGTAGAGTTTAATTTTCTCACTAAGCTTTGACAGTATGAGGCCCACTGTGTTCCTGCCCTCTCCTTCCCACATTTAACTTCTTACAACTTCAAAGAAGGGAGCATCCATTGAGCTCTTTATCATTATGGCTTCACTGGACTTCAAAACTTTTCTAGCTGTTGGTTATTTCCTTGCAGCTGCAGCTCACACTCTTCTGTCTCTCCTGTTCTCTTGTATGTGTGTGTGCTTAAATCAGCTTTAGTTGCTTTTCCAAATTCCAGTTCCTGCTTCTGTTCTTGTCAGTGATAGGGAGAGGGGAAGAGGAAGACACAGCTGTGCTCCTCCTGTGGGGCTGTCGTTTCCCAAACAGGTGTCTCCCGCTGACAGCCTTTCGGTCTTCCCTGCCTTCTCAAGAGGATCTAGCCTGCATCCAGAGGGCTGGGTGAGCTAAGGCCGTGAGAGTGGGGAGGGCCCTTAGCTTTACTCCTGGTAGATTTCCCCAGAAGAGTGCACTCACTCTTGCTTTTTCTATTAACTTCTCGAAACATTGGATAAAAAATTTTAAATATTTAACATTAGGTAGTTGATTTCATTATTGTTGTTCTTAGATTAAAACTTGACTTGAAAAAATTAACTTTTAAAAAGAAGCCCAAGTATTTCAGAATCTTTTCTAGTCCCTCCTGATTGTATTTTTGGCATGAGATAACTCACCTCCCTTGATAAATAAGGCCAAAGAAATCATTTCTTGTCATCATCTTGTCCTTTTCTTTTTTTCAGTGGCCCATCTCAGACTAAGCTGTCAAGTTTAAAAATATTAAAAGCATAGGTTTCTATCACAGGCCATTAAAAAAATGGTAATAAAGATCAAAGCCAGTTGTATCCTGGCACAGCCAGTCAGGTATTTGAAAGAACAAAGGTGAATGAAAGGGAAGTGATGTTGTACATGTATGGCCTTTGAAGGCTCTTCTGACTTCAGAAGAATGACGTGGAGGCATTTATATGTTTTCTTATTATTTATTCTTCTGTTGACTAATAGAATACTTGATAATTAATATAGGCCTTTGTAGCATAAGATCTCTGAGTGTTATGTCTTGTAACACTTTTGTCAAGTCTGTCTTATTTCTGATAGTTACAGAAGGGGTGTGCTCAACCTTCACTCCCAAACAGTTTGCAGCTCATTGGACTTGAGAGTGGTTTAGGTGTCAGCAGCTGAGTGAGGAAAGGGAAGGACTGGCAGTTCCCCCACCCTCCGGCTGTGCTTATGTGCATGGCTGCAGATGGGACTTCTGAAAACGATTGATTGTTGCTTCATCAGATTAAATATTTTTGCCATAATATACTGGTATTTCTTTTTTTACTACTCATTAAGCAAACTTTAGTAATTAGAAATTGTTTTTGAGCCCCAGTGTATACTAAACCTGGTGGTAATTATTGTAGGAGAGGAAGGATTATAAGAAATGATTCTTTAATATTTTTGTAACTTTTTTCCCCAGGTAGAATCTACCTGGGGAAAAAAGTTAGAAAAATATGGTTAGTGACCAATCTAAAATGATATGCAATTAAGTGTGCTATAGACTGAAAGTATTCTAAAAGCATTTTCTCAGTGTAAACCCAATTTGTTATAAAAGAATGTGGAGATGTGCCCAGCTGACCCATCGACCAAAGTGGGGAGTTACATTCTCAAAGCAATATTGTTAGAAGTGAGGAAACAGCATCTTATAAACATGCATGTACTGTCCTAAAGTCTAGATTTTTAAACTGAGCTTCCAGTGTGTATATATAGCCATAAGTGTTAAATGCTACTTAGTTTGAGGGTTTTTTAACCTTATTTTTCTTCTTCTTTTCCATTAATGTGTGCAATATGATTTATTCCTTTCAAAAACAGATTCCAAGACTTGCTTTCCCATGCTAAAACAGAAATGATTCTTATGAATTTTTCAGGGTAAATGGGTGGGAAAAATCAGATAGAACCATAGCTTTTTGAGGGCAAATTTTTTACCTTTATGTAAAATATTACTGGATTTTATTATTTCGTGTGTATGTGTATTTGTCTCATGTATATAGGTTGGTTCCGTAACACTTTAGACCATGAGTTGGCAAACTGTCCTGCTAGTCAGATCCAGTTTGCTGCTAGTTTTTGTGTGGCTTGTAAGCTAAGAGTGGTTGTTACATATTTTAATAGTTGAAAAAAAGCAAAAAGGATAAAATTTTGTGACGTGAAATTCAAAATGCAGTGTTCACAAGTAAAGTTTTACTGGTACACAGCCACACTCATTTGTTTAAATAGTGCCTGTGGTTGGTTTCAAGGTAAGTGACAGAGTTTAGTAGTTGCAGCAGAGACCGTTTGGTCTACAAAGTCTAAGATATTTACACTTTGGCCCTTTACAGAAAAATTTTGCTGATGCCTATCTTAGACCATTTTGGCATCAGCATGTAATTGTTGTTTTGGATCCGTGGTTTATATTGTTGTTGTTTTCTATGTTCATAGAATTACTAATATACAAACATTTCACATTTTCTCTCACTTTCAGAAGTTGAGAAAAAAAGACACTATTAGAAATTTTGTCTTTTGTTTTCTTAAATCTGCTATTTGAAAAGCATTGTGGTGTGATTTTCTTTATTTTTTAGTACCTAAATCTTTGTCACATTCATGGCATTCTGATGAGTAAATAATTCACCAAGGGCCGGGTGAGGTGGCTCATCCCTGTCATGCTAGCACTTTGGGAGGCTGAGGTGAGAGGGTTGCTTGAGTCCAGCAACATGGGGAGGCCCTATCTTTATAAAAGAATAATAACAATTATTTATCAAGATGAATTTAAAAGTTATGGCAGTGAGAGACTAACATTTCATTCTAATTTTTCACTTTTTACTTTTTCTGTGTCTTTTTAACAGTTAGTGCTTCAGTGTGTAGATTTGTTTTCCTATATCCTCATGCGTGAGGTTATTTTTAACCACATTTAAAAAATTAAAATGCAGTTTGGAGCATTATGCAGGCTGGCTTGATAACTACTCTGAAGCAGTGACGTTAGCTCTGGAAATACATATTTAGGGCAAAAAATACTGCTATTCAAATTTTTGTATTTCAAGTGAACATTTCTGTTATAGTAAATTAAACTTTTCTGTTAGCTATGATCCATAAATGGTTTTCTTGATGGTGAAACTATGCCAAACCTAGTTTCTCTTTTTTCAGTAAGTGATTCATTTCATATCAGTTGATCTTCTCTAGTAGCAATGGGGAAATTTCTTTTCTTTTCTTTTCTTTTCTTTTCTTTTCTTTTCTTTTCTTTTCTTTTCTTTTCTTTTCTTTTCTTTTCTTTTCTTTTCTTTTCTTTTCTTTTCTTTTTTTCTTTTCTTTTCTTTTCCTTTCCTTTCCTCTTCTCTTCTCTTCTCTTCTCTTCTCTTCTCTTCTCTTCTCTTCTCTTCTCTTCTCTTCTCTTCTCTT